CTCCCACTCCCCCTGCTTGTGTTCCCTCTCTCACTGTGTCTCTCTCTGTCAAATAAATAAATAAAATCTTTAAAAAAAAAAAAAATTCCTTTGGAAACTTCCTTTATCTCTAAACCTCCCAAGATAGATGTTAGCAATCATCCTCCAAGCATATGGCCCACTGTCTGAAGGGTCTCATGACTAGGGTTTTACTAGACAGTAATAAATGGCCTTTTCCTAACAACAGCTAGCCCCTTAAGGTCCTGGGAACCTTGCTTCCAAAATTCCTTAGAGACTTACACTATCCCTAACCCCCTCCCAACTTGAAAGTCTATAATGGGCCACTCCTCATGACCCCAGTACACCTTTTCCTGATCACAGGTCCCGTCCCCCTGCTTTCATAAAACCACCTTTTTGCACCAAAGATGTCCCAAGAATTCTTTCTTGGCTGTAGGCTCCGAACCCCAACATTTTCTACATCACCCTCCCCGTGGTAAATTCTGGTACCAGCAAAGACAATTTTTTTAGATCCCACTACAGGAGGAATGGAAGCGGGCCTCAGTAACTGGATAGAGACATTAGTATAAAAAAACCTGCAGAACAATGAACAGTAGAGCCTTTGGCTTAACACCAAGAACAAGGAAATGACTCTCATTTCTACCTCCCTTTGAAGTTGTTCTCAACCCAGACATCCAACTTCAGGGCTCCCTCACTTCCCTAGACCTCAAAGGATTTTCCTTACTTTCTTGCAAGCTCCTCCATTCATTGAAAAGGATTTTAAGGGGCGCCTGTGTGGTTCAGTCGGTTGGGCGTCTGTCTTTGGCTCAGGTCATGATCCCAGGGTCCTGGGATTGAGCCCCGCATTGGGCTCTCTGCTCGGCAGGGTGTCGCTTCTCCCTCTCCCACTCCCCCTGCTTGTGTTCCCTCTCTCGCTGTGTGTGTCTCTGTCAAATAAATAAATATAATCTTAAAAAAAAAAAAATCAAATGCATCAGTCTCTGCTCAGCAGGGAATCTGCTTCTCCCTCTCCCTCTGCTTGCGCTCTGCCTACTTGTGCTTGCGCTCTCTCTCTCTGT